ACTTCACTTTTAAATCCTTGTATTACCCTCTATAGCTATCATGATGCCTTGCCAAAAACAGACACTAACTAAATGTGTATTGAATTGCAAATCCATATGATTCAGTCAAAACATTTGTAATAGGCAAATGTAAAGTGCTCAATGCCTTTACTATACAGAGGAAAAGGAGGGAAAAATAAGTTGGTGTTGTAGCTAAAAAATAATCAGATAAGGAACAAAATTAAAAAAAAAAAACAACCAAAACCACAGCTGAAATCAAAGTAGATCAACAAAATAAAACACAACTGCAATTCTAAAGACCAACTACAATAACACAGCAAAGAAATAAACGCCTATTAGGCAACATCTGACAAGTGTGTCAGAAGAGGGAAAAGAAAGGAAAAGGCAAGAAGGAGCTAAAACTGGATTTCTTCATAAGATTTTCTGGCAAGGAGCAGCTGAGGATAGCCACCTGAATTAGGGTGTTGGCTAACTGGAAGACAAATGCATCTGGCCAAGCAGTGCAGGATAATGGAATAAGGGCAGCAAAGTCTGTAATTAAAGTCTTGTGATTAAAATCAACAGCACAGATCTCACTTAGGAGGCCCAGTGAGAAATTCCTCAATAGAGATGATATGAAATTGGTGATGGCGGTTAGTAGGGGGAGTTAGGAGCAAGGGTTACAAGAAAACAAAGCATCTTATTGTCAGTTGATATGGTGGGCTAGAGGAATGCTGTAATATTCTGAAGAATTTGTGCTATGTTTTTTTTTTTCACCAGAAGCAATTAAAATATCCGTGTGCAAAATGCATGTTAATCCTCCCTCAAAGAGAGAAAGGTAAAATAATTCTGTACTCTCCAGCTTATGTATTAAGAAAATTTTATTATTTATCATAATGAATAAGATAAATTTATAAAATTTTATATATAAGTATATTATATATGAGTATTTATATATAAACATTATAGTATATTATATATTAGTATATAGCATTATATATTAATATAATAGTATATGTAAATATTATATATAAGTATATTATATATAAATACATACAAGTATGTACATACATAATACATGATATAATAGTATATATCATAACAATATTTTAAAATATAAAGTATTATATTATCTAAATTTATTATTTATGAAGGAGAATGAAGTAGATTTTGGAAAAGAATGCAAGAAATGGTTCAGGAGGAAAACAAATAATCGCTTATTTATATAGCCATCTATGTGTATATATGAGGTATCAATACATATGCATACGCTGTACTGTACAGTATATAATCTTTATATACATTGCAGCCCCCTAAGGCAATCACAATAATATACACGTGTCCATACTCATTTCATAATGACCAGGTAGGATTTGTGTTATGAATGAAAAGGTGGTTCAAATTTAAGGAAACTATTCACATAATAAATCAGTAAGAGAGAAAGAGTAAAAATCATATGATTAGCCAGATGTGGTGGTACAAGGCTGTAATTCCTGCTCCCGGGGAAACAGAAGCTGGTGGATGGATTAATCTCAGGAATTCTGAACTGCAGCTGGGCTAAAAAGCTGATTAGATGTCTATGCAAAATCCAATATGTTGTGTCGTGGGCCACCAGTCTGCCTGAGGAGGGAATAACTAGCTCAGACAGGAAAGCAGGGAAAAACGTCCAGGCTGATTGTGATTTGAATGGATACTGGGCCCATAAGTGGCCATTACATTTCCAGACTGGGAGAGATTGGGAAATCAAATCTCAGAACATAATCTAATACAATACAAATCATTTAAATAGCTAGAAAAGAGCACTCATTTATAAAATAGCACTTATTTATAATTTTTAAAATGTAAAAATGGCAGAGATAGAAGGAATTTCCTTAATATGATTAAAAAGCATCTTTTCAAAACCAAGAGTCTTCATTATAAATAATGGAGGAACATTAGGAGCATTGTTACCATTTGAGGGTACAAAACCAGGAGCTCTACTTTCACCCATTTTACTTAATATAATTTTAGAAATTCTAGCTATATTAAGAGGGACAAGAATAAGAATAGGGATTGGATCTATGAGAGTAGAAAGAACTCCTTGGACATGTTCTGATAGAAGGAACTCCCAGAAGACAAAGCTTCCTCTACCAATACAGGTCAGTGCCTTATCTATAGTTTACAGTCTTAGAAAGTTACCTAGAACAGTGGTATCATACTCAAAGAGAATCAGCCCCCTAGGGCCGCATGTTGACTTAGAAAACCACAAAGTAATGTTATCTATGTTGTATTGTATTTTTATTTATCTTGTTAAATATTTCCCAATTACATTTTAATCTGGTTCAGGCCTACTAGGGATTTTCACATGTTGTCCATAGGCTAAGAGTTTGACACCTCTGACTTAGAGTACCAAGAGGTTAACTGACTTGCCCTGAAATGTATGAAACATTTACAAATAAAATTTCAAACTGGTTTCCAAAATAAGGAAAAAACCAAACAGAGGGATATTCCCTATATGGGCCCAAGATGAATGAATACGGTTTAAAATGCTGATGTTTCCCAAATTGACTTATAGATTTTTTTGAGACTATATAAACCAGTAAGACAAATTTTATATGGAAAAAACAAGGGGGCAAAAATATCAAAGAGTAAGAAAAAAAGATGAGTGAGAACTTGGCTTGTCAAACTTGATACATACTATAAAATGGCATTTATTTTTTTTTAAACTATCTGCTCTTGGCCTCTCAATATATAAAAACAGATTTTCAAAAACAAAGATCCTAGAAATAAAAACAAATTGATAGAAAAGAGAAATGTTTGATAAACTCAAAGCTATTAATCTTTGAGGAAAGAAACCATTTCTTTGCAACAGTTGTTAAGAAAAGTGGATAGCAAAATGGCAAAAACCAAGTCTAAATGCCAAGGTCGCAGCTTATGGTCTATTGCTTTGACTGCACAGGATCTATGCTTTTGTGGATGCATTTAATCCTTGCATGGATGCCTGTCACAACCCTTTTATACCTTAGAAGACAGGAATTGTAATGGTTTAAAAAAAATCATCACCTTCAGATGATGAGCCTCTCTAAACAGCTGACCTTGTCTCCAAATGACAAATATATTGAATAGTTCATGTCAAGCTCTTACTCAAAACTTCCCCAGCTTGATTGAATCTTCAAGAACTTATCCTCCCAGAAGATTGGGAGCCTTTGAAAACACTGGGTCACCTCCTGTGACTATATTCAACAATAAATTCGAATTATGCTACTGTGATTAAAAAAATTTTAAGTAAAGAAAAGAGAATAGCAAGTTTACTTCAGATGTGGAAGAAGGATAAATTTTTATCTAAATAACAAATGGAAGAAATTACTGAGGGTAAAGTAGATGGATGCGACTACATAAACTATTCTGGGAGATAAATATTAACAGACTTTTTTTTTAAAGAAAAAAACAATAGATTGATTTTTTTCTGCAATTAATCTGATTAGAAACCTTATCAGTAAATTGAATAAAGATCTAAAGTCTTTCAAGAGTTGAAAAAAAACTTATAAAAGCACCAAAAAATGTAGAATAGATAAGTGGATATGAATAGAAAATTTTATCAGCTTAAAATAAAGGGCTGCATCATTTAAAAAAACAACACAACTTTGACTAGAAAAAAAGGGGACAGTTTCAGATCTATGTTTTTGGAGAAAATTTAGTCAAATAAAAAATATGGGAGATCACAAAAAGGCAAAACAGATCATTTTACTTCTATGAAATCAAAGAACTTTTGCAAAAACAAAGTCACTACCAAGAGAATAACATAAATTAATGAGAGAAAAATCTTCACCTCAAATATCTTTGATAAAGGTCTGATAAGTTTCTATCAATTCCCTACACATCTTGGATGTAAGTTCAAGAGCCATGACCAATATATACGTGATTGGAGGATTTTGTTATTGAGTCATTTTCAGTCACGTCCAATTCTTTGTGGGGGTTTTCTTGGCAAAGATACTGAAGTGGTTTGCCATTTCCTTGTCCAGTTCATTACAGATGAGAAAACTGAGGCAAACAGGGTTAAGGGACTTGCCCAAGGTCACACAGCTAGTAAGGGTTTAAGCCTGGATTTTAATTCATTCCAGGTCTGGAGTTCTATCTACCTAGCATAAATGATCAGAGAATATGAACGAGTGGTTTTTGGAAGATGAAATGATAAGGGTTAACAATGGATGATAAAGTGCTTCAAATCATTAATACTTAGAGAAATACAAATTGAAACACTCAGGTTTTACCATACCCCTATCAAATCGGTTAAGACAAAAATAAACAATGTCGGCCCACTAATAGACTATTGGTGGAGCTATTGGTCTAACAATTCTGGAAAACAATTTGGAGCAATGTTAGAAAAGTAATTAAATTATTCATACCCCCAGCAATACCACTGTTGGGCATTAACCACAAAGAGGACAAAGACTGCTAAAATATGCATACTAGCACTTTTTGTTTTAGCAAGAAACAGGAGATTGGTTGTTCATTAATTGAGGAATGGCTGAATAAATTGAGAGATGTTCTTGTACCATAAGGGAAATGATGAATAAGTAGAATTCAGAGACTTTTGAACCATTGCAGAATAAAGTAAGCAAAACCAAGAGAATATACACAATGACCCCAATAATATAATGAAAAACATTGGAATTCAGATGAACGCAAAGACCACCCTTGACTCCAGAGTTCTGATGATCATTGGTTCAGGCACTACATCATGGTGATTCAGTGAATGGAGTGCTGGGCCTAAAGCCAAGAAGACCTAAGTTCAAATTCAGCTTTAGACACTTAATAGCTTGTGTGACTTTAGGCAAGTCACTTAACCTCTGTTTGCCTCAGTTTCCTTATCTGCAAAATTAGGGGTTTATAGTCCATAACCTAAAGTCCTTTCCATTTCTAAATCTACCAGCCTGTGAACCTATAAGGTCGAAGACAAAAGGCCCGTTTTGATTTCAATGCACACAACTGTTAGACGATTGCTTTGAATATGCTCAAGAAATCAAAACATCTGCTTTTACCAGGATGTAGTCTGACCATTTTTCCCTCGCAGTTCGAAGGGCAGCCTGCCGGAGTTTCATCACATGGGTAAATCGGGAGCCTGGCCAGTGCTTTGGTCCAATTTCGTCGGGGTAAGACCTAAGAAAGAAAGGAAGGATGATTGCATTCCTGCCTTGCTTCAACTTCTGGGACAGCTGCTCAAAATACTCATCTACTTTCTCCTCTATTTTAATGAAAGAAGTGAAGGAAAAGTTAGGGAACAATCACCTCAAGTAAACCCAAAACATCTGGATGTGGAGAAAGGTTCCCAGAGGAGACAAAGCCTCTTCCTATTCCCAAGTTTCTGAACAAATATCTCAGCAAAAACTCTAGATGAAGTGATTCTATGAACCAGAACAAGTAGAATTTGTCCCTTTTCAGCTGCAACAGCTGTCCACAGCTGTGTCTATGAGCTCTGTCAGTCCTCATAACAAACATAATCAAACTGTTACAGCTTTTATATTACTCTACAGATCCTTGGTTTGAGGGGTTATTTTGAACATTTGTAATTGCTGAAATAGGAAATATTGACTCAGTGGACCCCACTTTCCTAAATTGGTCACCAATGAAAATTCTTATGGAACTGCTGTCACTATAGTTCTCTCTTTCTGACTTGTAGAACACAGATTTAATCCTGGTTAATCCTACCTTCTACTGACTTAAATTCTTAAAGTAAAAAAGACCAGAGGAGCAGCAGATTGAAAAACAAACAAAAGCAGGGCTACCATTTCATCAGTGGAGTCATAATCCATATTTCCCAACATATTTTCAGTCCGATTGCCCTGAAGTCAGATAGTACTATGGCATAAACTGATTTAGACTTAGTTCTAAGGATCATACTGAGTTCTTTCATAAAATTTCTCTACTTTTGCCAGGGAGGTTGATATATATCCTGCAATCATCTTCATAGCTCTCTTTGCCCTCATTTTGTTCAAGAGTACTACAAGATGAAATGACCCCAAAATGATGTTTCTGGATGACATGAAATGAAGTCTTCGGGTACACTATATAACCAGCCTAAACAGCCAATACAGGGAGCATGGCTATGAGGATAGAGTACTGGATTTGGCATCAGGAAAGCCTTTGTTGGAAGCCTACCTCGGATACTTATTAGTTACATAACCATAGGCAAGTCACTTACCCTCTCTGAGAATCTGGATTTTCTTATTTGTAAAATGGAGATAATAATACCTAAAGTGACTCCCTCACAGGATTGATGTAAGGCTCAAATGGACTGCTGACATGGTAAAGTCCAAATGTTCCACTATTGTACTCTTGTCACCAATGAGGACAAATCACTTGAAAAATTCTATCATATCTATCCAATTTAATATCTTTGTTCTTCTGATTTATCTATAAATACTCTCTGGACAACCTACATTAGCTGTATTTCTTGCCAATCTCTCAGCAGGATCTTGTGAGGAGATACTTATCTTAATCTTCCACCCTCCTCTTCCTCCTCATCAAAAATTTTTTATTTTTTGCAAAGGATATTGTACTCTAAAGTCCTTAGCCACCATGCCTCTTCATTTCATTGCTGTCTAAGTAACTTTTTACAGTCCCTTCTTCCTTTCCCCACAACTTCTTTTTTTGAATCAACAGATTGTTTAAAGAGTTTGGATTGCAGCTGATGTAGTTGCATCCTGAACCTCCTCATTTTTTCCTTTCTTCTAATTTGATTAATTTGATCTGGAAGGTAAATTACTTAAATGTAAACCAGGCACTTGAAGGAGGTACAGAAAAATCTTTCAGTTCCATAAAATGTCATACAAATACAATTCCATTAAAATGAATTCCATGGAAGCACCCACATTTCTCTATTTTATTTGAATTTTTCTCTAGAAGAATTTTGTTCTTAAATTTTGCTTGATATGTGAGCTTTATACTGGATCTTGAATGTCTTTTTCTTCACCACACAGAAATTTCCATTATGTAGGAATATATCATAATAGCTTTGATTTCTTCATCTGAAAACTGCCTGTTCATATCATTTACCCATTTATCCATTGGGGAATGACTTGTATTCTTGTACATTTTACTCAGTTCCCTATATTTTTGAGAAATGAGGCCTTTATCAGAGGAAACTTGCTGTAAAGCCCCCCCCCCCAAACCAGTTTTCTGCTTTCCTTTAAATCTTGGCTGTATTGGTTTTCTTTGTGCAAAAACCTTTTAATTTAATGTAATTGAAATTATCCATTTTATATTATGTAATGATCTCTAATCTCTTATTTGGAATTCACGATATTCCTAAAACCAGTCTTCCTTAAGGTAGAATTGGGCTGGCGTTGGGGATGTCAAACAATAATGAATAGGGTTTTTAATTTTTAATATATTCATTCATGGTACTATACTAGCAAAGTGATGACCTTTGTACTAAGGAAGCTGCAACATAAATGCTCATTGGAGCTTACAACATATTTTGAGAGAAAAGACATCTGTGCAGAATGGGGAACAGTCAGTGATTTGTCCTTGATACTCACTGAGGGTCATCCATAGGCCTCCATTCCACATAGTGGTATAATTTCTGAACGTTCTTCAGCCACTCTCTGAGGATCTCTGTTGTATTGTCAACATTGTGATCAGTGGCTGCCCTAGAGAAAGCATAATATAGTCCAGTTATATCATTAGACTCAAACAGAAGAAAAAAAAATAAAAAAGTCCTGCAACTACCTGAAGGGAAGAATATTTTCTGTAAGATCATTAAAAAAGCCCATGTGTAAATAACCACGTTGTTGCACTAGACTCTTCAAAAAGTAAGTTTTAATTGAGTTAAACCAGAGTCATGCTTTGTGAATCATAGTTTTCCTGTTGATTGTTCTGTACATTTTAACAATACATTAATACAAGCTTTATCTTGTTTATCTTGAAGTCTTCAAGACTTCAGGTGAAAGCTGGATCACCTTTTGCTGTGCATGCTGCAGAGAGGTGGAACTAAATGTGTCTTAGGATCCTTCCAGCTCTGGGATTCTAAGATCCTGTAAGACTCATGCTGACATTTCAGTGGCAATAACATTGAAGTGACAAGCACAACAGAGGAAAATTTACAAAGTCTTAAACTCTAGTCGAGACTTACTCTAAAAGGTTCCCACATCTTTTCAACGCTGGGAATTAGACGCAAGATTTATCTTCAACAGTTAGTGGAACAGCTTCTTGCTGCTGCCAAGAGTAAGAAGACACCATGGGGTGCTAGAGGAAGAGGCCCACGGCAGTGTGTAATCAGCCCTGCAGATGGCTCCCAGGGGCCATATTTGTTAACTGCCTGTAGAACCATAGAACAGTAGACCCTTAAGAGTTGGAAGAAGCTGTACTGAATCATCTCTTCCAACCTCATTTTTTACATATGAGGAAATGGAGGCCCAGAGAAGGTGAACAATTTGCTCAAGTTTGCTCTGATAGTAACAAGCTGGTTCAAATTACCACTGAACTATTAACAATTCATTGATTACAGTCATTCAACCAGTTTTTAATCCATCTAATTGCATAATCAATTAGCCCACATCTCATCATCTTTCCCACATAAATAATATGAAGTATTTTATAAGATGTACAAAAATCTGCAGTTCTAATCAGTCTCCCTATCTCAAGCCTCTTCCCACTTCAATCCATTATCTCCCTAGCTGCCAAAGTACGTGTAGGTCTGACCATATCACACACTCCCCCTCACTGCATACCACTTCTCAATGAACTTCAATGGCTCCTTATTATTTGCAAGATCAAATATAATCTTCTTTGTCTGGCATTTAAAGCTCTGGATAACCTTGGCCCTTCCTCCCTTTCCAGTACATTTTTTGTTCTTCTAGACACTATGTTCTAGCAACACTAGTCTACTCATGGCTCTTCCAACAAAACGTTACAACTTGCATCTCCATGACTTTTCTTTTGTCATATTTCCATATTAGCCATGTTGCAAAGGAAAATATACACAAAAAAACAAGAAAAATTTAAAAAGTTAAAAAAATGTGCTTCACTCTGTACTCAGAGTTCATCAGTTCTCTCTCTGGAGGTAGATAGTATTTTTCATCACAAGTCCTTCAGAACTGACTTATCTTTATTAGAGTAGCTAAGCCTTTCACAGATGATCATCATTATACTATTTCTGCATACAGTATTCTCCTGATTCTTCTTACCTTACTCTGTATCAGTTCAGGTAAGTCCAGTTTTTTTCTGAAATTATCCTGCTTGTCATTTCCTATAACACAATTGTATTCCATCATAATCATATACTATAACTTGTTCAGTCATTCCCCACTTGATGGGCATTCCCTCAGTTTCCAATTTTTTGTCACCACAAAAAGAACTGATATAAATATTTTTGTATAAACAGATCCTTTCCCCTTTTTTCTGATCTCTTTGGCATACAGATCTATTAGTGGTAACACTGGGTCAAAGGGTAGGTACAATTTTATAGCCCTTTGGGCATAGTTCCAAATTGCACTCCAGAATGTTTGGATCAGTTCAGAATTCCACTAACAGACACGTTTTTCCATGCTCCCCTAATTTACTTATGATATCACTTTTTATGTCTAAATCATTTATCGATTTTGACCTTATCTTGGTACATGGTGTGAGATGTTGGTCTATGCCTGGTTTCTGCCAAACTACTTTCCAGTTTTCCCAGCAATTTTTGTCATAAGGTGAGTTCTTACCTCCCAAACATAGATCTTGGGTTTACCAGACACTAGATTACTATGGTCATTTACTACTGTGTATTGTGCACCTAATCTGTTCCACAGATCCACCACTCAATTTCTTAGCAAGTACCAGAGTCTTTTTATGTAAGCATTTAAGATGTAAATTTTCCCCTAAGTACTGCTTTGACTTTATCCCACAAATTTTGGCATGTTGTCTCATTCTTGTCATTCTCTTTAATGAAATTATTGATTATTTGTATGATTTGTTCTTTGACCCACTAATTCTTTAGGATTAAATTATTTAGTTTCTAATTAATTTTTAAAATATGCTTCTATTGCCCTTTATTAAATGTAATTTTCACTGTGTTGTGTCTGAAAAGGGTGCATTTAATATTTCTGCTTTTCTGCATTTGATTGTGAGGGCTTTTTATGCCCTAATACATGGTCAATTTTATAAAGGTGCCATTAACAGCTGAGAGAAAGGTATACTGCTTTCTATTCCCATTCAGTTTTCTCCAGAGGTCTATCATGTCTAATTTTTCTAAGATTCTATTCATCTTCTTACTTTCTTTTAAAATTTTTTTTATTGTTAGATTTATCTAGCTCTGAGAGGGAAAAGTTGAGGTTCCCAGTAGTAGTTTTACTGCCTGTTTCCTCCTATAATTCATTTAATATTTCCTTTAAGAATTTGGATGCTATGCCTTTTTGTGCATATATGTTTAGTATCAATATTACTTCATTGTCTATAGTGCCTTTAGCAAGATGTAGTTTCCCTGCTTATCTCTTTTAATTAAGTTTCTTTCTGCTTTTGCTTTGTCTTAGATCATGATTGCTACACCTGTCTTTTTTTTTTTTACTTCAACTGATGCATAATAGATTCTACTCCAGCTCCTTATTTCAGCCCTGTGTCTGTCTCTGTTTCTTGTAAACAACATTTTATTGGATTCTGATTTCTAAGCCATTCTGCTATCCATTTACATTTTATGGGTGAATTCATCCCATTCACATTCACAGTTATGATCATTAACTATGCATTTCCCTTCATCCTATTGTTCTTCTATTTATCTTTCACTCTTTTTCATTCTATCTCTCCTCTAAAATCTGTTTTGTTTCTGACCACTGCCTTCTTTTATCTGCCTTCCCTTTTATCATCTCCCCTTTTCTCTTATCCCCTTCCCTTCCTAATTTCCTCTTGAGTAAGATAGATTCTGTACCCAATTCAGTGTGTATATACATTCTTCTCTCTTTGAACCAATTTGGATGAGAGTGAGGTTTAAATATTGCATGCCCCTTCTATTTTCCCCTCCACTAGAAAAGTTTGACTTTGCATGCCCCTTTAATGTGAGATAATTTTCACCCTTCTTCCTCTCCCTTTCCCCTTCTTCTAGATCATCCCTTTTTCTTGCCTACCCATTTTTTAAAAAAGATCATTCCAACATAATCAACTCATTCCTGCATCCTCTGTCTATGGAGAATCTTTTAAAATTTATTTTATTTTCAACTCACAAAACAAAACAAGCATTTCCATAACAGTACAATAAAAAAAGTGATTACACATGAAACTGCAAATCTACCATGTACAACTTGCTATTCCTTTCAAATATACAACAAAGTCATCATGCAAATTTCTTTTTTCCTTTTTTGTCCCTCCCCCGCCTTAGAGATGGCTACCATTAGACATAAATATATATCTATACATGTATATATACACACATACATACATACACATATGTGTACACATATAAATAATTCTATATGTACTTCTATTTATCAGTTCTTTCACTGGATGTAGATAGCATCTTTCTTCATATGCCCTTTATTTTTAATTTGTATGTATTTATAGTAGTCAAAATGATTTAGCCCCTCAGTCATTCTTAAAACAATATTGCTGTTACTGTATACAATGTTCTCTTGGTTCTGCTCACTTCATTCTTCATCATTTCATCTAACTACCCTAATGATGATAAAGTTCTTAGGAGTTACGTATATCATCTTTCCACATAGAAATATAAACAACTTAACTTTATTGAATCTCTTATAATTTCTTTTTCATGTTTACATTTTTACGCTCCTCTTGAGTCTTGTATTTAAAAGACAAATTTTCTATTCTGCTCTGGTCTTTATCCAGAATTCTGGAAAGTCCTCTACTTCATTAAATATCTATATTTTTCCCTTCCAGGATTTATATCCAGTTTTGCTGAATAGGTTATTCTAGGTTGTAATCCTAACTATATTGCCTTCTGGAATAGCATATTCCAAGTCCTCTGCTCCTATAACATGGTAGCTACTAAATCTTGTTATAGAAGCAGAGGATTTGGAATATATAATAAATCTTGTGGGATACTGACTATGGCTCCACGATATTTGAGTGGTTTCTTTCTGGCTGCTTGAGATATTTTCTCTTTGTCCTGGAAGCTCTGGAATTTGGTTATAAAATTCCTTGGAGTTTTCATTTTGGTATCTCTTTTGGGTGGCGATTAGAGGATCCTGGTTCTAGAATACCAGGGCAGTTTTTCTTTTCCAGAAAAATGATGTCTAGGTTTTTTCATGGCTTTCAAATTGTCCAATAATCTTTAAATTATATCTTCTCGATCTATTTTCCAGGTTAGTTGTTTTTCTGATGAGATATTTCATATTTTCTTCTAATTTTTCATTCTTTTCACTTTGCTTTTATTATTTCTTGATGTCTCATGGTGTCATTAGCTTCCATTTGCCCAATTATAATTTTTTTTTTTTTGGCTAGGCAATGGGGTTAAGTGACTTGCCCAGAGTCACACAGATAGTAAGTGTTATTTGTCTGGGGCCAGATGTGAGCTCAGGTCCTCCTGAATCCAGGGCAAGTGCTCTATCCACTGCACCACCTAGCTGCCCCCCAATTTTAATTGTTAAGGAATTATTTTCTTCAGTGAGCTTTTGTATTTCTTGATTTGGTCAATTCTGCTTTTTAAGGAAATATTTTA